CGCCCGCACTCTGTGACGCTAATCGACTGGGCGGCGAGCCCTTCAGGCAGCGGGGGGAACCTCGCCCACCGCCCCGTCGCCGTTGATGTCGATGCCCGTCGCGCTCTCGTCGCCCTCGGCCAAGTCGGAGGCCGCCGGCTTTGGCCTGTCCTTCTCGTGGGTCACCAGCAGGCTCTTGACGAGGGTGACCTGCCCGCGGCACGAGAGGGGAAGCGCGTCAGCTCTCCGCACGCCCCCTCCCGCCCGTGCCGGCAGAGGCGTGGGACGCGGGGGGTGCGACTCAGCTCTCTCGGCCGAACGGCGCACCCCGTCCTTTGCGCGCTGCAGCTGCTCCATCGGCGGCGCGCTTGCGTCGGTCGGCAGCAGCACCGGTGCGAAGATGACGGCGAGGTTGTCCGCCTGGGAGGGGGAGGAGAGGAGGGGAGGGAGGGGGAGGAGAGGAGGGAGGTGTCTCTGGGTGCGCCAGGCCCGCGCCCGCCGCCGGGCACGCTGCTTCGCACCCCCATCTTCGAGGTGCTCTGCTGGGCCGCCGCCTCGCACAGCAGGTCGAGCAGCCAGTACAGCGTGTCGCGCTGCGTCTCGGGCATCGCGTTTTTGAGGATCATCTTGATCGGCATCCCGACCTGTGCACGGCGGCAGGCGTGACGGGTGCCCCTCCCCCGAAGTCCACCCTCTCCCCCCACGGCCAAGGCCAGCCTTTGCGGCCGCGATCAGCTCCCGCTCCAACTCGCGCCCCGCGTCCGCCGCCTGCGCGCCCTTCTTGCTGCTCTTCTTCGCCTTTGCGGCGGCCGCGTCGCCGCCGGTCCACATCACGCCGCCGGGCAGCTCAGCGAACCACGCCTGCGGGAGGGGCGGGCGGGGCGGGAGCAGGGCGGGAGCAGGTCGAGAGCAGGTCGAGAGCAGGTAGAGAGGGGGCGGTCACGGGCCGCGCGGGTAGGCGGTCGGGAGGGGGTGGAGAGGGTGGGAGGGTGGAGAGGGGAGGGAGGGTGGGGAGGGTGGGGGGGGAGAGCAAGGGAGGGTGGGGAGGGTGGGGGAGGGAGAGCAAGGGAGGGCGGCGGAGGGAGGGGGGGGTGGGCCTTGATGAGCGTGCTCACGGCGTGGCAGGAGCAACCCTCGAGCACCGCGTCCGGGTCCTCGCCCGACTCGAGCCGCTTGCCTACAGGACGAGTCTCGGAAGAGTCTCGGAAGAGTCTCGGAAGGGTCCTCGCCCGACTCGAGCCGCTTGCCTACAGGACGAGTCTCGGAAGAGTCTCCTATGAGGAGGAGTCCGCTTGCCGAGGAGACTCGAGCCGCTTGCCTACAGGACGAGTCTCGGAAGAGTCTCGGAAGAGTCTCGGAAGGGTCCTCGCCCGACTCGAGCCGCTTGCCTACAGGACGAGTCTCGGAAGAGTCTCCTATGAGGAGGAGTCCGCTTGCCGAGGAGACTCGAGCCGCTTGCCTACAGGACGAGTCTCGGAAGAGTCTCGGAAGAGTCTCGGAAGGGTCCTCGCCCGACTCGAGCCGCTTGCCTACAGGACGAGTCTCGGAAGAGTCTCCTATGAGGAGGAGTCCGCTTGCCGAGGAGACTCGAGCCGCTTGCCTACAGGACGAGTCTCGGAAGAGTCTCCTATATGAGGAGGAGTCCGCTTGCCGAGGAGACTCGAGCCGCTTGCCTACAGGACGAGAGCCTCGCAGCCGTCACGGTACCGTCTCGGAAGTGACGTCGCGCCCGGCTCGAGCCGCTCGCGTATGAAGGAGAGCTTGCCCGCCGCCTCGGCGGTACGGAAGATCCCCTCCTCCTGCTCACCCAGGCAGCGGGGACGTGAGCGGCATATCTTTGTGTATAGGCGCTGCCTCCCTCCTCGCTACGCCGTTCGGTCCCCCTTTAGCCCCCGGGTGCTACCTTGGGCCGTGATCGAGGGAAGTGGAGGAGCAAGCCGGAGGGGTATAGCGGGGGTCCGCGCTAGCCCGCCCTCCTGCATCCCGTCGCTCTCGTCGAGAGCGCGCCGAAGCGCGGCGAGAAGCTTCGGCACTTTCCGCTCGCTCCTCCACTCCGCTACCCGATCGACCTGCGACAAGGGAGAGAAAGAGGCACGGCCGGAGCCGAGGGCTGGTGGGCGCACTCCCGCCGTTGGGCGCTCGTTCCGGTGCACGCTCCCGCCTCGGCACTGACAAGGAGGACCCCTTCCGGCCGCGTCTCTCTCCGCTCTCTCCCGCTCTCTGCTCACCTCTGTCGGCTGCTCTGCCAGAGGCACTCCAAACCAGGAGACGGCGAGGCCAGCCTTGGCCTGCGCGCCGCTGCGCTGCGCGCCGCTCGGCTGGCCCTTGGCCCGCTGCATCCCAGAGCGCTGCCCACTCGGCTGCGAGTACTCCGAGTTGTCGCTCGAGATGGTCATGTGCTTCATGTACCTGAGCCGAGCGGTGGTCGCGAGGGACGGTCGGCGGGTCGTAAACAGAGGCGCCGGCTCCATCGACCGTTGCAGCACTGACGGAGGTGGGGTGGCCAGAATGATCTTACGAGGCGAGTGTGTCTACGACTCGTCTCGTCTCGAGAACACACATCGTCGCATCATTGCCCTCATCAGAAGGCAGCGGCGCCGGGCTCTGGTCTCGCGAAGCAGAGCCGCCGATCACTCGTCCGAACGCCTTCATTGCAGCTGCCGTCGTCGAGAGCCGCGCACTCGCACAAGAACCGTCCGCTATCCGAGGGCTGGCAAGCCGCCGCCGAGCGGCGAGGTTTTTTTCCCGCTTTTACTGTTCGAGGGTCATGAGAGAGAGAGATTTTTAGCAATACCAAACAAATCTAACACTCACACGTCATTTGGGGCCTGGAGCCCTGTTCACGCGCGCGCGAGACGTGCAGACAGGGTTGCCAGGTGAGAGCGAATGGCGCGGTTCACGCCTCGCACAACAGAGAGAGAGATGCGCTCTGCATGGTGGGACATAAAAGAGAGCGAGTACTTGGGCGAGTAGGCCGTGCGGTCGACGCTGCCGCGCGCGACTTTGCGCGCGAGGCGGCGCAGCTTGAGAACGGCGGTGGGCGAGAAGCCGCCGCCGAACGTCTCGTGGAGCAGCAGGTTGAAGTTGTTGCGCTTGACAAAGATCGCGTCGTGGTAGAAACCGCGATGCGCCTTGACGTAGCCGTGGCCGGTCTTGTGGGAGAAGGGTTGGCCGGGCTGCCCGCGCGCCTTGCAGCCCATGTTTAGGCGGCGGGCCTTCTCTTCGGTGTTACCAAAGGCGTAGGAGTGGCCAACGGAGGCGGGCGTGCCGCCACTCGAGGCGTTGCCAACGCCCGGCGAGGAGGTCTTGAGGAGGGGCGTCCAGAGCTTGACTTCATTCACCTCATCGCACCCTCCTGGTCCCGCATGGGGTTCCGCGAGGTCGACCTTGTACCCCTCGTTGTACTGCCGGGTGAGCTCTGGTTTCTCCTTGTCGCCGTGCACGACCGGCGCGTTGGCCGGGGCGCGCATCGCGTCCGCCCAGGCGGCGAGGACGCCGTCGTGGGGCCGCCGGTGGTGGGCCTTGTTGTAAAGGTAGTCGCCGAAGAAATCGACTGGCATGCCCCGCTCGAGCGCGACCCGAAGGGTGGGAAGCGCCGCAGAGAGCCAAAGGCCGAGCTTTCGCTGGAGCTCGTCCTGGAGGGTGTCGGAGGAGAGGGCGGTGGCGTACGTACCGTCGACACGGACATCGAAGGCCTTGCCGGCGAAAGGCGTTGAGGCGGAGACGAAGCGTGCGGCTTCGCGGTTGTTGACGGCGCTGTCTCCGAGGGACGGGTTGTTCTTGACGTGCGCATCCCGCGCCTTGACGAGCTCCTGGTGCGCGTACCAGTCCTTGTGATTCTTGATGGCAGCGAGCGCCCGCGGCCGCGGGTACGTGGATTTGCAAGTGCCATTGAGAATCGCGTCGGTAGCTGGAAGGGACTCGGGCTCGGGGAGCGGGACGCTCTTGGGGTAGAACTCAGTCAGGTAGCCGCCGCGGACGGTGTAGTACTTGTTTTTGTCGCGGGCGGTGCGCTTCTCGCACACCTCCTTCCAGTCCGAGAGGGCGGACTCGTAGGTGGCGATAGCTGCGGCGATGGCGGGGTACTTGGATGCACCTCCCTCGTCGTGGGCGAAGTCGGGGTTGTGGGCGACGAGGGTGCGCCAGTTCTTGAGGAGCGACATGGAGAAGTCGCTGTCGGCGCGCGAGAAGGCGGTATCGATGTTGCACCCGCCCATCTCGGTCGGCAGCTGTGCCTGGAGCCACGCGAGGTCGCGGAGCGCCTGGGGCGAGGCGTCGGCGCGAGCAATGCTCTCGAAGGACTTGCGGATGCGGTTGTGCGCAAACTCGAGAGCCTCGCACGCGACATTGGGCGGCGTGATGCCGGCAATGTACTTGGTCTTTGCGCAGGCGATCCGTTGGACGAGGTTGAGGCGGAGCTGCGAGGTGTTCGTGACGCAGTCAGTGTCGACGATCGTGTCGATGACGTCGAGCGGCGCGAGCTTCTTCCTGAGGTGCGCGGTGAGCTCCTTCTTGCAGGCTTCAGGGTCGCCAAAGAAGGTGCCGACGGCCTTGAAGCAGTCCACTCGCCCCGTGGGTTTGCCCTCCTTGTCGCGGTGTGCAGGCGAGCCCCGGAGCCAGCCCGGCGCGCTCGAGAGGTCACCCTCGGGCGAGTAGATGAGCGACTTGCTGACGCCGTCGAAGACGCTCGCTCCCTTCTTCTGCGCCTCGAGGAGGCCCTTTGGTCCGGAGTAGGCGGCGACGGCGCGCGAGGGCTCGTCGTTCTGGCAGATGTCGTCCGCAAAACCGATGAGACGCATGCTCGGGTTGTCACGTTGGACTTCGTGGCAGATGTCATGGAGGAAGCAGACGCTGAGGATGGTGGACAGCGCGCGTCCCTGGATGACCCCGCAGGCGGACCTGGCGTAGTTGGGGTCGTTGTAGTCGGGGCACTCGAGGCTGAGTGGGTCCCAATCGGCGGCGGAGAGGTCCAGGTCGTCGCCGTCGGCGGAAGGCAGCCGCAAGGCCCCCTCGGCCTTGACAAGGCGGATGAAGCTGGGCGTGCCCATGATGAGGCGAGCGACGGGTAGGAGGTCAGGGCGTCGCTTGCGGATCCAGTCGAGGAGCTTGACGCGCCCACAGCCGTTGGGGTCAGGCTTGTTGTCGGCCGTGAGCGCCTGGGCGATCGTGTTGTAGAAGTTCTCCTTGTCGCCCGAGATGGTCGCGTTCTCCGGCTTCGTGCCGTGCCACCCCGCGACGGTGTGGGCGTACAGGTGAGTGCCGTTCTTGGAGAACGCATAGTTCTTCGGGAAGTTGACTGGCGCACGGGCGCGCTCCTCCGCAGCCTCGGCCGCCTCGAGGTCGGCGAGGGCGGCCGTTGCCTCGGCCGAGCCGTGTCCGTGCGTGATGCACCTCGAAGTGTACGCGGCTTCCGCAGTGGCGGTGGTGACGGTGGCGTCCTCGAGTGCCTCCGCCCTGGCCTTGGCAACCTCAGGCAGCTGCGTGGTGCAGAACTGCTCCGCCCAGTCGCGCTCCTGGAGCGCGATGCACCGTTCAGCTGAGCGCGTGAAGAGAATTGTGTGCCGTTTCGCTTTGCATATGTTGCC